ATGACGTCACAACTCTCGTGGAAAATTATAACACGTAACATTTTCCGTTTAGTAGACTGAAACTTACATCCACGCAAAACAGTTGTATAGATCCGTAAGTACCAAGGCAAATAGAGAGGCACACTTATTTCCATTTTCTCATAATATGAGATATAACGCATACGTGATAAAATCGGAGTAAGCGTGAGATGTAATATCAAAGATACAAAGCTACTTACAATATATTCATAGGCCGAAGTTATTTTGTTTTTTTGGAAAAATACCGAATTAAGGAATGGCACAGTAGCTAATCATTTAGTAGCTAGTCGCAGGTTCCGATTCCTCAAAGTTATGCCTAAAATTTCATTACCAAATTACCGTTAGCGTTACAGCCTAAAAGTCCACTGATTGCCTCATAAGAGGAGATAGTTGCCATAGTTGCCACGCTTGACGAGCGGTTTAACAACTGTAGTTTATTTTTTATTTTTAGACGTTATTAGGAAGACGCTGCTGCCTATCTCCTGATTTGTTTACCTCTGTCGCCTCTTACGACACCCACGGGAGTAGTGGTTATTCTAATACCACCACTCCTTGGTAAAAAAAAACCGCATTAAATGATTGAATTGATAATTTTTCATTTTTAAATTTACCTGAACAGGATGCATTTTCCGCCGTTAGTTGGTGGTCAAAATTTCGTCTGTCAATTAGCAGGATGCGCTCCATCCGCGTACAGATTGTGTTAGCACTTAGAGAAAAACTTGACATATTCCAGCTTATATTAAACCTTATAGCATGAAATGGAATTCTATTCAAATTAGACTAATGAAATACAAATAATTTTAAAGCGCGACCGAAGCAACGGTCGCAATCCTATAAATATTCATTGGTAATGCGCATCCGAGTTCAATGTAGCCACGATTGTGAATAATAAATATAAACAAATACTATCACGTATGGTATTATCGTTGTTGAATGAAGAATAATTCTCGATATATGCCAAGCAATCAACTGTTTAATGCCGCGAAGAACACGTGGACTTATTGAAATGAATGGTCGCGCGTTAAGAAAACATATATTGAAGTTTTATATTTTTTTTATTTAACTTGTTAGTATGTATTATGTAGTATTTACTATGCCGTTATGTATTTGCTATTTTATGTGTGAAGTATTAGTAAGTTATCAATGTAGTCTAAGTCAATTAAATACGCATTATTAAGGATAACTCCAAAACTACTGATCAGATCTTAATCAATAATTTATATGGGACCACATGAGAAGTACTAGATTTCAAATACAAAACGAATCATCAAATTCTGTTCACCTAGAAAGAAATCTGAGGTTACACAAATAAAAAATACAGTCGAGTTGAGAACCTCCTCCTTTTTTGAAGTCGGTTAAAGTGTTACACCTTATATACTTTCATTTGCTGGACAGAAGCATCTAAGCATTTCTGACAAGGTTATGGAGCGATTGATTTTTTTATAGGATAAGGGTGACAAACGAGCACACAGTCCACCTGATGGTAAGTGGTTGCTGCGGCCCATAGACATCTACATCTATCCTCTATTACAAATCAAAATCCAGATGCGTTGTCACCCGTGAGGACTAAGATGGTATACCTCTTTTCCAGTAAAAAGGGCCTCCGGCCACCTGCACTCACCAAGCGAAACGCAGAGGTAAACCTCTACTTCACGCTGGTATTCTGTGAGGTCGTGGTACCACCCCGGTTCGAGCCGGCCCATCCGTGCGACAGCAAAAGCTGCCGCGTGGCTCTACCACTGTATAAAGGAATACAATATTCTTTTAAGGACTAGTGCACTAGCACTAGTCCTTAAAAGAATATTGTATTCCTCAAACATGCAGGTTTCCTCGCGATGTTTTTCTTCACGACCAGAAACATGGTGGTAGCGTGTATTAAGAAATAAAGTACGACATTTTGTTTATTCTTTTTTAAAAACACGAATTAAATATGTATTGTATGGTAGAGCCGTATATTTAGGTAGAGCCGTATATTTATTACAACTGCAGCACGAGTTTGTCGACTAGGGAAGATCATGCTCTCAGTGAAAACTAGCGTTAGCTTTTTAAGATATTTTTATGATAACGCTAATTTTACAAATATCCACAAAAATATTCACAACAAATGACATCAAGAACCCCGCGCTTTTTTACAATAAAATGAATTTTTATGTTAATCACTATTTTCTTATTTTAAACTTATTGAAAATGATTTTCTACTTTTTAATTTAGTTCTCTACAAAAGCGTGTTTCTTTAGTTTTTTTAAACTATTATTTATTACCTTAAGTCGATATGTTTCTGCTTTAAAGTAAAGGAAAAATCTCGTAAGTCAATGGGCTAATCTATTACGATATGAAGATCAGCTTGCGAACTGCGTTACCTTTTAAAATATGCTTCGTACTTTTGAAAGTTCATGTTGTGTTTTTTTTAATAGGATAGGGTGACAAACGAGCGCACGGTCCACCTGATGGTAAGTGATTGCTGTGATCCATATACATCTACATCTATCCTCAATAAAGAAGCAAAATGCAGATGCGTTGTCACCCTTGAGGACTAAGATGGAATGCCTCTTTTCCAGTAAAAAGTGTCTCCGGTTCTCTACACTCACCATACGAAACACAGCAGCGTTAAGCTGCTATTTTGCGCTGGTATTCTGTGAGAGCGTGGTCCATCCCCGGTCGAGCCGACCCATTCATGCTACAACTATAGTACTAATATAGCTGCAGCATGGCTCTACCACGTGTGCTGTCCCCCAGACAGGTTAGGGGTCTTTTGGGAGTCGATTCTTCGTTATTTGGAAGTCAAAGGTATTGTACAATACAATTAATAGCAAATATTGAAGCTCACACCAGAATATAAGAAATAGAGCCCTATATAACGCCATACAGTAGGTTCACAATTACAATATTTTTTTGTTACCAATTAATAACCAAAACAATAACCACCAATAATTTGTTCATGCATATATTAAACTACCAATATATGCAATATAAATTCTCTTAAAGCATTACATGTTAAATGATTCTATTTCTCAAACGTACCACGCTCTGCCCGCAACAGGAACATTTCGATATTAAAATCCATCAATCGCAATGTAAAAAGATCATCCAGATCTATAGGGTCAAAGGAATCTGCGCACTCATAATTCCAATGATTACGTGTCATTACTCATCTTCAAATAATAGTTTGCACCCCATAGTTTACAGAGATTTTAACTATTATGAAGAACATCGGATGAAATACAGCATGTTTACGAGTGTTATAATATTTACTAGTAAAGTATAACACTTCTGTAGTTCAAAAAATGGTCGAGTTATATTTTATTAGAAGTGACCGCCGTTCCATCCGTCCATCCATTACAGCCTATAAAAGCCCACTGCTGAACATAGACCTCTCCCATAGATTGTTTCATAGAGGGACACCTGGCCAGCGGGTTGGCAACCGCAGTTATTATTAGTTTGAATTGTTATCAGGAAGATTCTGCTTCCAATTTTCTTCTGTTACCTCCTATGACACCCACGGGATGATATTGGGTAGTGGGTGTGCTTACACCACCACTTCGCGGAACCGCCGTTTAGGACACTGCAATAGGTACAAAAGCGTGAACACACGATCGAACAAAGCTGAAACACAGATATTACATTTTGTTTGAGAGTGTAAAACAGGTTTGCAGCTGATCTGTCCGTTCGATGTATATGACAAACACGCTCTTCTATAAATTTTTTTATCTGTGCTTGATTACTTTCCTACCTGATGGTAAATGGTTATATAGCAGAAAAAGGTAAAACGACAGTGTGTTTACCTTCGCTTAAAAAAGGCTGTTCACTCTTGCCTTGAAAACACCAACATTGTAGTCAGATGGAAAGACAGATGTTGGCAAATGATTCCACTCCTTTGCTGTGCTCATAACGAACGACAAACCACGAATGATTCGAATGCGTGCCATGGCGACAATGGAGAAATGGAGCGTCTGGTTTTTCAATGGTGAAAGGGAGATGTAGGAATTAAATAAAAACAAAGTCAAAAGAATTGTTATGTTGTCATTTTTGGTGGCTCAAAATGTATGCAGAAAGCATTGCTACCCGACGCTACGCCACATTTTGCCAAATTTTCTCATTTCAGCCTAAGCGTGTTCTCAGTGAAAAGCATTCGGGATAGCATGTGGCATGGTAGTGTGTTTCCCCCACAACTCAAAGGGGCGAAACACAAGACATAATACAACAGCGTTTGTAAGTCATGACGCCACGCCGCACGCCCCGTTGAACGCTCTCCACTAAGACATAAGACCATTTTTTATATGGGTGACAAACGAGCACATAGTCCGCCAGATTGTAAGTGGATACTAAGACACATTTATCCCTCTTTCCTGGAAAAGAGGCATTCCATCTTAGTCCTCACGGCTGACAACGCATCTGCATTTTGATTTGTAAACGAGGGTAGATGTAGATGTCTATGGGTCACAGCAACCACTTACCATCAGGTGGACTGTGTGCTCGCTTGTCACCTTTATCCTATAAGAAAAAATCACAGTTCACATCGTAACTTTGCAGTCTTTATTACCTGATATAAACAATGTGATTTACATAGGCTTATTAAACGCTATAATTTTTTTCATGTGCAATAATTAACCAGTTCAATATGCAATACTTTTAAATATCATAAAAATAATTTTGCGTTGGTTTTTTTTTGTTCATGAAAAATAACCAGTTATACGCATATCTTGAACATACTGTACATCACAGCAAGACGCAATTCCATCCACACTTTCATTAATTATTCCAAGTTAGATAAGACACTGCATTCTTAATGACTCTCGGACCAGGGCCATTGCTCATCGACGTGTGACTGTGCGCCCTCTTGCTTTTATTTTGTCGAGTGGAATCATTAAGCTTTGTGTGCATCAAGTGGGTAAGTTTTTTAAGAGCCTCCATAATAGACATATTGTCAATCGGTATTTTGAATTGGTTGTATGAATATCGTTCACAATGCATTTATAAAATAAATGAAAAGTAATGAAAAAATCAACGCCAAATTAAAGACTGAAGGCAGACTCATCATCATCATCATCATCATTACAGCCCTTCACAAGTCCACTTGGGCGGTGCTGCAGTCCCTTCAGCGGTGCCAAGTTGACTGTCGGTATATCGAAGTGTTGAAGTGCTTGTACAGTAGGGCTACGATGGCTATCCGAGTACAGAACCAGAATACGAAACCTATCCAATTGCAGAGAGGTGTAAGACAGGGTGACGTCATATCCCCGAAACTCTTCACCGCTGCATTGGAAGACGTTTTCAAGCTTCTGGACTGGAAAGGATACGGTATCAACATCAATGGCGAGTACATCACTCACCTTCGATTTGCCGACGATATAGTCCTTATGGCAGAATCGCTGGAGGACCTAAGCACTATGCTCAATGACCTCAATAGTGTTTCCCAACGGATAGGTCTTAAGATGAACATGGACAAAACAAAGATCATGTTTAATGTCCATGTCACACCTATGCCGGTAGTTGTTGGGAGCACTAAGCTCGAAGTTGTTGACGAGTATGTTTACCTGGGACAAATAGTCCGACTAGGTAAGTCCAACTTCGACCGAGAGGTCAATCGACGGATTCAACTCGGCTGGGCAGCGTTCGGGAAGCTACGACACATCTTCTCGTCAGACATACCTCAAAACCTTAAAACGAAATTGTACAACCAGTGCGTGTTGCCAGTGATGACTTACGGAACTGAGACGTGGTCCTTCACTGCTGGCCGTATGAGGAAGCTCAAGGTCGCTCAGCGAGCTATGGAGAGGGCTATGCTCGGAGTTTCTCTGCGTGATAAACTTAGGAATGAGGATATCCGCAGTAGAACCAGAGTGACCGACATAGCCCAACGGATTAGTAAGCTGAAGTGGCAGTGGGCCGGCCATATAGCTCGAAGAACCGACAACCGATGGGGAAGAAAGGTTCTCGAGTGGCAGCCTCGTACCGGTAGGCGAAGTGTAGGGCGTCCCCCCACGAGATGGAGTGACGACCTGGTAAGACATGCAGGAAGTCGATGGATGCAGGTGGCTCAGGACCGTGCTTTGTGGCATTCTTTGGGGGAGGCCTATGTTCAGCAGTGGACTTGTGAAGGGCTGTTATGATGATGATGATGATGATGACAAGTCCACTGCTGAACATAGGCCTCCCCCAAAGAATGCCACAAAGCACGGTCCTGAGCCACCTGCATCCATCGACTTCCTGCATGTCTTACCAGGTCGTCACTCCATCTCGTAGGGGGACGCCCTACACTTCGCCTACCGGTACGAGGCTGCCACTCGAGAACCTTTCTTCTCCATCAGTTGTCGGTTCTTCAAGCTATATGGCCGGCCCACTGCCACTTCAGCTTACTAATCCGTTGGGCTATGTCGGTTACTCTGGTTCTACTGCGGATATCCTCATTCCTAAGTTTATCACGCAGAAAAACTTCGAGCATAACCCTCTCCATAGCTCGCTGAGCGACCTTGAGCTTCCTCATATGGCCAGCAGTGAAGGACCACGTCTCAGTTCCGTAAGTCATCACTGGCAACACGCACTGGAAGGCAGACTGTCGCAACTCAACTACATGATAAAGGTCACAGTATTATTTTTTATATGAGACCGAGCAAATGAGCATGCGGCTAACCTGATGGTTAGTGACTACTGCTGCCAATGAACAACTGCAACACCAAGAGAATTGCAGATGCGTTGCCGGCATTTTAAAAAAGAGTAAGCTCTTTTCTTGAAGGTCCTTAAGTCGTATCGGTCCGGAAAAATCGCTGGTGGTAGTCAATTCCACAAAGAAGTTTTGCGAAGAAGAAAATTTCTTGTGAATCGCACATTGGTTGACCGCCAACCATCCAGATGGTATGGATGGTATCTCGAGTTTTGTCGCGATGTGCGGTGGTGAAATTGAGCGGCTGGAATTAGTCAGAATAATTCCTCTGAGCACTCCCCGTGGTAGATACGATAGAATATGTAAAGTGATGCAACATCCTTCGTAGCACCAGTGAGTCAAACTGACCAGAAAGAGCTCGGTGGCTGACGATTCGACTCGTTCTACGCTGGATGCGATCAAATGGAAGTAACTATTGAGACTAAATGTAATATTTAACTAACCTCGCATTTTATTTGACTTATTGTCATCATTATCATCATTACATCCCTTCACAAGTCCACTGCTGAACATAGGCCTCCCCCAAGGAATGTCACAAAGCACGGTCCTGAGCCACCTGCAATTGACTTATTGTGTTATTCTAAAAACTAAAGTCCGATGAGGCCGACAGTGGAACTTCTTTTTCATGACACAGACCTTGCTCAGTGTAGATCGCAGTAGGTGTTTTACTTGTGGTATATAATACAAGAGAGTTATACCGTCATGTATCGAATGCCTTGAGATATGATATTTCTCAAAATCGCCTCTTCCGTAAGTGGAGGGTAGAAATACAGTAAAGATTCGCTAACGACGCAACTACACGATGAAGGTCACAGTATTGGTACTAACTATTATATAACTAACCTCGAACTTTACCTACTTAACATTCATTGTTATATTGATTTATTGGATTTATTCTATTAGTTATTGAACCAAAACCTTTTTTATTCAATATAGATTACAAATAATACATACTGAAAATCACTCTTTTGTTTAATTTACCACTGATTCGGAAAGAAAGCTCAGTCCTGAGAAGAACCAGTAAGAAACGCAGCGGGACTTATTTTGAAAAAAAAATAACAGCTTCCAATTACCGACGCAAATCAAATTAAAAATAGGGTTACTATCATCCATAAATTCCTTAATATTATAATAACCTCTCTTATACAACTTTGTTTAATAAAGTTATAATTATTTTTTATTATTTTCCGGAATTTTGTTGTAAAAGCGCATCGCACCAAGAATGAATTACTGTCTCGGTTGAGTCGAGTAACTGAGTGTTCGTATTCATATCTAGATGTCCCGCAGTTGTTACTTGTGTGCGATTTAAGGGTTCTATTGACATTATAAGACTTTTTAAGTTCTCTCCTGAACAAGCATTTCTAAGAATGCACCGGCATGCATTTATAGGTTTTGGCTGAAGGATTGACTAACCCATAATCGACATCGTTGTACTGATAATGATCCTTCCTGACTGTGAAGATTACGTTCTATATTTTTAGATGGATTTTCTACAATCGGATCGGACCTCGTCAGTCACGAGGTGAGCAAGGTTTACATATGGAGAAAATTTTATGAATTCCGTTCATCATCTCCTATCACTTAGGACAAGTAAAAGCTATGTTTGCGTGTAAACTTGATATAAATGCGCTAGCGTACTGTTATATAGCGTATTTTAAGGGACACATTTATAACAACAATGTCACATAATATGTGAGAATGTATCATTGTTAATACAAATTACGCCCCTTAAATCAGAGGACTAATACAAATCGCAGATCAAAGGTTCTTAGTTTTCATATTTTAAACATGATACGTCAAGTAAAAAGAAACGAAAAACCAGTACCACTTAAAAATAATTTTCAAGTACCTTCGTGTTAAAGCCTAAGACATTTGTTTCGACTAACAATAAAAATGAAGAAATTTCGCTTGGAAAGCAATAAAGATGTAAGAATTCCAACGGTCGCTTGGTAATTTAATTCGTGATAAATATTGTTCTCGTTATCTCAAGGATTAGTACATTACTTTTGGATGTATCGTAAGATATCCGTAGTTAATTTTAAACTGTGACAGCGTCGTCATAGTAGCTCAGGAGTTTGACCACTGGCACCAATCAAATTGTTGTTTGTAGTTGTAAGTGTTGATTTAAAACGTGCTGAAGTATGAAGCAAAACAGAGTGAGGAAACTTGTAACCAAAAATAATATTTTATAGGTACCAATATTTCTAGGCTATGTGAAGTTCGCCAACAAGAATTAAGAGTAGCGCGGATGAATATTTCTTCTCCCTTCCTTGCAAAAATGAGAGGACCTCAGCCTTCGGCCTGCGCTCAGCGGCTCCCTTTAATTTGTAAAAAACATTATTTTATTTATTAATAAAACAAGCATACATTCTACCTGATGGTAAGTTCGAATTTCGATTATAAATCAAAATGCGATGTAACTAAATAAGTAATATAAATAAATATAGTCAACTATTAGCACGTAATACATAAGTATACATAAAAACATAAAATAAGTAACTTATCTGACGGCTCCGTGGCGCAGTGGCTTAGCAATGAGTTGCTGTGCTAGGGGCCGCGGGTTCGAAATCCGCACGGAGCAAGTATTTGTATGGCCTACAAATAATTGATCCGGGTCTGGATGTTTGTTCTTATGCAGTTTGTGTTTGTCAACTACCTCCACGATGCAGAAGAAAATCCTAGTGTAGGGGTAACGTTTAAAAAAAAAAGAAGAAGAAGAACTTATATTCTTAATATTGTTTGTACAATTGCACTGATAACGTTAAAAATAAAAATAATTACTTTTTTATAGTATTAGAGTGAAAAAAGAGCACACTCCACCTGATGGTGATTGGATACTGTGGCCCATAGGCATCTACATCTATCCTCGATTACGAATCAAAATCCGTTATCACACCTGAATACTAAGATAAAATGCCTTATTACAGTAAAAAAATTCTCCGATTCACGCCACTCGCTTTACTAGAAACAGCAGTATTATGCAGAGATTTTAGGCTATAATTATTTGCAAGCGTGATCAAGCAGACCCGTCCGCGCTGCAGTCATTATAAGCTGCGGTTAGTTACTTCACTAATTTTACGATACATGTTAACTTGTTTAGATTATGAAATTTGGGCCTTATTAATATTAGATTTTAAGAATGCTTTTTCTCTACCTATTTATTTCTTATAAAAGGCGTTATACACATCTATATGTTAAAGCATACAACTTGCGATCATTCTTTGTTTAGGGTAAGCCGGGTATTTTTTATGCCTCAACCACTGTCATTTTTTGAAAAAGTATCATAAACCCTAATAAAGACGACGGCTCCTTAAAACCATTCCGAGTTGATAGTAAAGAAAAAAAATAATATTAAAAGTGAAATCCTCCAGAGCTTTGATTGACCACAAATCAATATTAATGATCAAAGCCAGCGGGTGTTCTGGCCTGAGCCGGCGTCTTTTTCATACCCGTTAAATAAAATGAGACAACGAATGTTTGGACACCTCGCCCTTAAAGCGTTTTAAGTGCTAAACGAATAAAACCATTAATTAAACGCAATTCAATGTACATATTGAATTTATTCAAATGGTGATAAATGGCGGCGGTGGGAGAAGCAAGAAGCGCGAAAGAGATGTGTTGCTGGCTCTTTTATAAAACATATTGGATGCCTCGTTGGAATGCTCTGTCGGATGATTCACTGTCAGTTCAAAATAAACGAATGTTCAGCGAGCTTTATTTGATTTTTAATTATCATAATGAAAACTGTCAATTTTCTGTACCTACACGTTCCGACTATAGATATTATATTTTATTAAAGCAATATTTTTACTTAGTGTACTTTATAAAATAACAAACTAAAGATTTACAAAAAAATACTAATTGCTCTTGTTCAAAATAATTCAAACTGCGGTCATAAACCCACCTGAAAAAAGTTGAAAATATGCACAAATATACCCCATTCCTCCTATGAGGAAACAGCGGATGGGCGGTGATGTTTTCATGATTGTAACTCAAAATAGTAAAAGGATGCTGTTGAAAACAAGTTTTCCAAATGTGGCAACTATGACGAAATCCCCCCATCAGGCAATCTTTGGTAATGCTTATGATGGGCAGTGGACTTTGATAGGCTGGAATGATGATGAAATGTGATGAAACATACTGAGATCGAAAATTCCCCAATCGGCTTGCGAAGCTTGGCGATTGAGGCAGATCTTCTATTCTTTTGAGGCAGTGGACTATAAATAACGGACTAAAAAGATATAAAGCTTACCCTATGCAACCTTAAATGTTTCGAATGCAGTATCAAACCCACCGGGTTAATCATAACAAGTCAGACTGAAAAGCTGATAATTTGGGGAT